CCCCAAAACCCCAAAACCCCAAAACCCCAAAACCCCAAGGAGCAGAATAAGATTGCAAATTTTGAAATTTTAAATAATTTTAAGAGGTATTTCAAGCGTTTAAAATGGACGGAAAAATCGATGTTAACATTACTTTTGACGACAACAACCAAATCAGAGTGCTCTCAGCGGACAAGTACAGAGAGACCGAAAATCTTAAGGGAGAGTGCATTGACTTCTTAAAGAGTAAGAGATATGAGAGAATAATGGATCAATTTAGAGATTATGAATTTCAATGATATGGTTTCAACTTTGATCGATCTGTTGGATGCTCAGGCTTAGAAAATTGAAGACGCAAAGTTAAAGGCTGTAGGTGCAAGAAACAAAATTGAAGGCGAAGAGGATAACCGTAGAAAGAGAGAGTAAGAGCTCAAGACTCTAATTAATGAAAAGAAGATGGAACTTGAGAGGTATTTTCTTAATTATATTGATTGCCTTATTCTTAATTCTATGTTTAGGTTAACTTATCAATATGATAGTCTATAAAAGGTTGCTAATGAACAAAAATTAACAATTGAAAAGCTCAGCAACAACGAATCATGAATAAAGAAAGCAAGCTTAAGAGCGAGTTAGTTACATGTTCACAATGATATATATTCTTAATTATTAATTCTAAATAGCAGATTTTGTTTAAATATTAATGAAACATATGTAAGTTAGTATGTTAGAATATCTCAATAAAATTTGTTATTCAGCGAATATCAGCACCCCAGAATTTGGAGGCGTTCTTATCGTAAGTGAAGTTTTCATGTCCCTTAGCCATGACAACTCTCTCAGTTCCATCAGCATCTCTAACTAGCTCTCTCTTGATTGTGGTGTTCTCGTATTGGCCTTTACCTCCAGCAATGTGCCAGGCGTTTCTAATCATTAGCTCAAAGTAGTCATCATCATCAATTGAGGCACTGACATCCTTGTAGTAGTCTTCCCATTCCTCTGGATTTACAATACCGTCCTTATTGAGAGTATCCCATTGTTGCATGAACTCCTCTAGAATAGCTTGCTTGGACTTCTTGCCTTGTTTGAACTCTGGATGGAAGCTCACGTCATATGAATCCTTGAGATCATCAACAGTGATTCTGCCATCTCCAGTCTTGTCTAACTTTTTGAATGCTAGCATGATGAGTTCTCTTCTTCTTTGGTTCATCTCACCTCTTAAGGCTCTCAAGAATTCATCATAACTGACCTTGCCGTCATTGTTCTTATCGAAATACTTGAAGATTCTTTCGAACTCAGATGGGGTAAGATCATGGCCATTCTCTCTAAGTCCCCACATGAACTCTTGTCTATCAAGTTTTCTATCTCTGCTATTATCGATTCTTCTGAAGACGATTCCGAGACCTCTAATACCATGGGCACCTCTAGCTTTAAGAACTGTCTTAATTTTGTCAATGACTTGATTGGGTGGCTCTCTAGTTAAGCCGAAAACTGGGTTGACATTTGGGTTGTTTCCACTTCCCATTCTTGCGAAAGAGCTGGCAAACTCTTCGTAGTCAAGTTTTCCATTTTCGTTAGCATCGTACTTTCTGAAGATAGCATCCATTTCGAAGTCCTTGAAGACGCATCCAAGAGTCTCTAGAGCCTTTCTGAATTCGTTTGGTTCAATTGTACCGAATCCATCAAGATCAAAGTGCTTGAAGATCTTTTTCACTGTCTTACCTTCATCATCAGCACCGTGGGTTCTTTATCTAACCTTCTCAAAGATAATGTTTTCAATTTCTTGAAGTCTTTGGGGTGAGACGAAGGCTTTATCAGTATTGAGACCCCATGTCTTAAGCACAAGATCAACGTAGTAATCGTCCTTCTCAGCTGGAAGACAGGCATTGATATCAGCGTAGTACTCAAGGAATGAACTTTCAGTAACTTGGCCACCTCCTGCTCTGGCACCAATGCAGGTCTCAAACTCATTGTATACTTTCTCTGCATTCTTTTCTCTGGTCAATACTCTTGGGTGGGATTGAACCTAATAGGATTTCAAGAGTGATCCTAGTGGAACTCTTCCAGTAGAAGATTTATCAAGAAATTGCCAAGCATGTTTTACAACTGCCAATCTCTTTTCATTAATATCTTGCTAAAATGAAATCACTTATTTTGCTAAAAGCTTACTCTTAAAGTGCCAATGAATTCCTCATACTGAATGTGACCGTCCTTGTTAGCATCAAAGTGATTGTAGACAGTGGTAAGTTCTTGTCTAGCTAGGAAGACTCCCAACTTTGACATCATCTCTTCAAACTCTAACTTATCGAGAGTTCCAGATTAATCCTTATCGAATTCCTGTAAAATAATGTTAATAACCGAGCGAGCTATTATGAGCTAGTCTTACTGTAAAAACGCTTTGAAGTTGGAGGAGATTGTCAACACCTTTAGCGTGGAGTTGAGACTTTATCTTGTTTTTTATTTGGTCGAGACGGTTTTTCCAATCCATATTGTTATTTCTTTGATTTGAAATGATAAGAATTAAATTATTAATTCATATTCACCTTGTACTTTATAACTCAAATCTTTACGATAGACTGATTAGGGGTTTTGGGGTTTTGGGGTTTTGGGG